CGCAAGGATGACAGATAGCCTGGCTCGAGCGTCTGCACAAGGGAGAGACAAAGAGAGACATGACACGTCATGCTGTCTGTCTCTCTTGCCCACCGGTCTCTGCAACTGTGCCACATTCATGTTCATCGGTGGCTGCACACTGGCCATGCGATGGGCCTGGACAGGCTGAGAAACAAGGACGCAGGCCAAGGAGAGGAGACTCGCGTGTGTTTCCCTCCGTCTGTGCTCTTATCTGCCGATTTCGGCCACTGTCTGCTCACCCGATAAGGGTCCCGAGTCACCCGAGGCTTGCGAACATAGACTATACGATGCTGGATGACCTGATGAGCGGAAGGAGACATGACCGACAGCCTGACTCGGTCTGTCTGTCTGTCTGTCTGTCTGTCTGACACAGGCGTACCTTCTTGGGTACCTCAACGAACTTCTCCTTGTACACGGTTTGGGGCAGTTCCACGACCTGCTCCTCGATCTCGTGTTTCTCGATCTCGATGACTCTCTCCTGCTCACAGCGACCAAGGGACACACACACGTGTGAAGCTCATGCAGTGCAGAAAAGACCGAAGCGTGAAGAAGCACTGACCGACCTTGACAACAGGTTGAGCGATGAATTTCGGCGGCACAAACGGGACAGCCGCCGTCCGGTTCGACGCCTGTCGGGCCGACGGGCAGCCCGACAGGGGTGCGGGCGGTGTAAACCCCAGCATGGAGGGCGGGGGTGGCAAAGGCGACTGCCTGGCCGGTCCAGGACCTCTCTGCAGCACCGTCTGGACGAAGCGCCCGTTGGGCGGCGTGACCGGCATTGGCGGCCTTCCGAACTGTGGCAGAGGACCGGGGGGGCCCACATAAGGCCGCTGATGGGGTAGTGAAGCGGTCTTGCACTGGAATGAGCCGACTGACGGGGGAGGAGGGGGTGGAACTGGGAACATGGCGCAAAAACACGGCAAAAGACTCTGCAGCTCCTGCAATTAGCAGGTACAAGGGCGGGAGGCGGTGATTCTTCTCGCTCGAAACGATTCTTCTCGCGAAAACGATGCTGGGGGCAACGCGATCGCCCCCATGCGAGCTTAGCTCCACGGGAAGGCAATGGACCTAACGGCGGCAGCGCTATCAGCGCGGTACCACTTCCTCATCCCATATGAGAAACAAGGATGCAGGCCAAGGTGCAGCAGCATCCTGCATGCTGCGAGAATCTCTTGCCGCGAGACGCTTTGTCTCTTCTTTCTTTATCCTCCTTTGTCATTTTTTCCATCACAACCTATTTCACCCTTGACCGACCCTTGTCATCGGCTGTGAGCCACCATGTACGCCCTCCGCGTCAGTGCAAGACCGCTCTACCGCCTCACCAGCTGCCCTGTATGTGGGCCACTCTCGGTTGAGCCTGGCTCCCTTCCCTACCCCGTCGCACTGCAAGAGGCCGACAACTTCTGCCCGAATCGGCGTGGCGATTGGTGCCTAAAACGTCAGCCATCACTGACACGTACGAAGAGGAGCTGCGATGGTCGGTTGTGTTGGGCTGGCTTGCATGTTCTGTGTGCTTGCTACCAGCTGTTGACGACACCACGTACTGCCCGCCGTGTACTTCTCGACCGATTGAGTTCGATGGGAGCGTATACGACCCGGTGACGCCATATGCCGGTTAGAAGATGTTTGGTATGATTGTTGGTGAGCTGCCTTGGGCGTCGTCATCTTTCTGGCCGCCAGTGACAGGCGGAAGCTGCTGGTGGCTGGTGCGCCAGGATGGACTCATCGGTACGAAAGAGCCGACGAGAACGGACGAGTGTATTTCAGCGTCTTCGTGTCTTGCCATGCAGGCGCACCACTATCTGTTCGAGTATTGGCCCGACGGCAATAGCACTGTACATTTCGACGCGCCCTACTGGGCACAGATCACTGTCGGTGACGATCCCGAGCTTCCGCCTTAGTTGTTTATCGCTAGGGTCCCAGGCAACGAAAAGGTGGGCCGCAGATGCAGATACACGCAAGACACACACACAGAGGAGAATACACACACACACACACACAGACACGACACACAGAGGTGTGAAGTTGGATCTGTATGTGTCGTGTTTTGTGCGTGCAGTTCTGGTGTGTGAGCCCAGATCAAAAGTGGTCCTGCTGTGAATTTCGCCCAGCCCCTCCCCTCGCTCCCCATCCCCGCCCCGCAGGAGCCCGCATCGCAACAGCACAGAAGAGAGCCGTTTGGGAGAGGGGGAAACGGGTGCTGCGGCTGCTGCAGCGGCTGCTGCCGCCGGTGGACAGGAAGACGCTGAAGACGAGAAGGGCGGGCCGGTGCTGGAGGACAGAGAGGGGGTGCGGGTGGCAACGAGAGCCAGCTGGGTGGCGGTAGCAGTGTTGGAGTGCCCGAGGTCACGCTGCCCGACAGCCCGGGCGGCACAGATGGTTCTGAGGGGGACGGTGAGGAGGCCAAGGGGTCACGACCTGGACCTCCGTGCCCTCTTTGAGGATGGACATGGTTTTCGGACCCCAACGCAGCATCTCGCGGGCAACGGATCTGACCCCCCTTGCCTCACACCCCCACACCGCGTCGCCCTCGCGGCGGCAACCACACGCCTGTAGTGTTTGACGAGGAGGACGACGATGACGAGAAGATGACGAAGAAGAAGGCGGGGACGACGAGGAGAAGGCCGAGGAGCCTGAGACCCTCCAGGTCGCTTCAGTCGTCTACGCCTGTGTCGCCAGGGAGCTGCTGCACACTTCACAGAAGCCGCTCTTCTGCCTGGTGGGGGAGATGGTCCGCTGGACGGCAACCCAGGAAGTCCTGAGTCGCGTCCTGCAGACGGCAATGGCGTCACTGGTGCAGCAGTCCGTCACCATGTCACGGCAGGGAGGCAGCGGCATCGCACTGGACGAGACACGGGGTGAGGCCGCGGAGACACGGGAGGAGGAGCACGTCATGCACAGGTAGCGGGACAGTGCGTACGGCATGCATTGTGACTGAATGGTTGGACAGTCATTAACAGGTACGCGGGTACGCGGGCGTGGTCAGGTAAGGCGGTTATAGATACAGGTGAATGGAGATCCCCACTGACGTGGCAATGGGCATACGTCCATAGTGCCATCGATATCGTCTGGTCGGCAGGAAGATGTGTGTATATCAAGTGGCATGCGTGCATCGGTTCTCCCTGCTGTGTGTCCATAATATGCCTGCAGGTGGTCTTGGGTTCACGACTCTCGCAGTAGAGGAATTCGTCAGCACACCAATCACATACTCATCCCCTTCTCGTCTGATACTTGCTCTCTTGTTGTCTCGCAGTCTGTCAGTTTCCTATCGCAAATGAATTGCTGCTTACATTTTATATTTGTGGACATTGCTCAAGCTTTCGAAACGTTCTCCTTTACGTACGCCAATGAGAGACATGTGTGTGCGGTGGATGCGGGCCACTTCACCCTTTTTGTTCACTCAGAGGGTCGCTCATGGAGGTGCTGGACCTGAAGAGGCCACCGCCAGGGAGTGTTGCTGCTGGGGCTCGAGAAAGAGATGGAACACACATCACGCACGCACGTGTCCATATGTCATGCATGACATTTCCCTCCCCGCCTTTGTGGATTCGTGTGTGTCTTCAGTGTGTTTGTTGGTCGCGCCAAGCAGGACCAGACCCGAGGCGGCCACGAGCCCGACGAGTGGTACGTCGCTCACGAAGACCTCAGCTGTCCGTTCCTTCTTGCATGCATGGCGATGGTGTGCTCCTTCCTGCGTTTGTGTGTGCGCTTCAGGTTCACCAACTTCCCCAAGGC